GGTCAAACAGACCCTGCTGAATACAAATGACAGATCTTAATCAGAATTTGCCACCTTCTAAACAGGAGAGAATGGGGCTTGGAGGGCAAAGGAGGAGCAGTAAAGAAATCAGCGTCTCCTCTAGCAGTTTTGGCAAGCTGCCTGTCTTTTCCTTCATTCATTTGTCCTTGCAAGTGTTTGGAAACAAAACCCACTGGAAAGATAAAGGGTGTTTTTTTTGCATTAGCAATCTGTCCCATTTTTCATAATAGCCAGAGTCCCCTTTGCTAGCCAGCATGTTGACTCTGATCCAAATGCCAGAACTGCTGATGGTAGCCAAAGTAACAGCCTTCAGCCAGACCCCAAGCAGCTGCCAGCACAGAATGGGCACCAAATGGCTACATGACTGATGCACATCTGCTCTGTGTGTCCAAAGAAAAACTATCAAAGCCTGACTTCTACAGCTCACAGCAAAACATCAACTAAGGAGACTGTTGAGAACAGCTGAGCTTCCCTGATTGCTAACAGCAGGAAAAAATGTTGCTGATGCTTCCTTACATACCTTCTGGCCCCAACCACCTTCTGTCTTTATAGAGCAATGTAAGTTTCTACAGACTTATCCAGGAGACTTTGCAACATCTGGCAATGGGCAAGTGGTAGAGGCTGAGGCCGTTCCCATGAAAGCAAATCTGTGCGACAACAGCTTTTCTCCAAGGAGCAGCACTTGTGCTAATATTAGCATCCCACATAAGGTAGATCAGTTTTGTTTTCCTAGAAGCACAGGATAAATTCAGATTCAGAATAAATTTGGGTTTAATTTCACCAAGTGGCCCATCACTTCACAAATGCTGAGCAATCGAGCTGAGCTGTCAAGTAGCTGTCCTCTGTACAAACATACAAATCCATACCATTGTAGTGCACATGATACAATAGTACAACAGAACTTGTCAGAAGATCAGTAGAATAACAGCTGTCCAGGTAAAAGCTAATTTGATAGCTCTTAAAAGAAGGCCTGGGAAGCCAAAGTGGTAACAGCTGAGAACAGAGAAACTAATGCTCAATGAAGATCATGCAGAGTAGAAAGCTTTAATCAATCTCTAGAAAATCAGAATGAGACTTTTGTAGGGACAGACTATGCTATCTAACTATTAAACAGCCTTTTGCCTTTACATTAAAAAAAGAATTAATGCTGTCTGGCATCAGATAATTTCACCTAAAATAAATATAGAAAACCAGTGCCAGCACAGATTTCTAGAGGATTTTGCTCCACAGATTTTTTTTTTTCTCTTTTTCAAAATCAAAGGTATTTTCAAAATAGAAAAGTGACCAAAAATTGTAAGGCAAGACGTAAGTTAAAAAAATCCCTAAACTCAAACAAGAAATGCACAGCATCCTAAAGGCCTGGCTCATTAGCTGTATTACTAGAAAGTCATTCAGTGTCTTTCT